ATATTTGTGAAAGCTCACAACGCAAGTTTTATTCAAATCCCTAACCTTAGCACAGTTAGCACCTATTAGCATCATTAATTTTCATCATTATTTTTTTATGGCACTCAGTGTGTGCTGCTAGAAGGAACATGGTACGCCTGAAAAGGAACATGTTATGCGTTAAACAAAGCTAATTGGAACCAACCCCAAGCTAGCGTTAATATTTGCATGTAAAGTCATGGACATCAAATGCTTAGCATAGATATACAAACAAAAGCCTTTGACGAGATAGTAATATTACTTCCATACTAAGAAAACAGTAAAGCTTTTCGCTCTGTATTCACCGTGTGATAAACAATGCGACTAAATTGTGGCACCACCACCACGCAGCAAGAAATTTCTACCACATGATTTGCAATATAACTCGGGCCAATCAATCACAACATGATTGAAGGAAATGCAGCTGTCTCTTCAATTACTCTGAATCCGGTAAGTCTGCATTTGAGCTCTTCATTTACTCTGAATCTGAAGAGTCAGCATTTGAGCTTTGTCGAACACTCCTCTTGGTTTGACCTCTGGATCTTGATGAATTTAAAGAAGATTCACCCTCAAATTTAATTACTTGAGCTTTTGCAAGCCTCTCCTCCAGTTCCTCGGTGCTAAACCCATCCGTCCCACCAAGCTCATCAAACCCAACCTGAAAGCATGTGGCAAATCTTGTATCAGAGTTCAAACACAGCAGCAACATTTCAAGTTTCTCCGTGTAATAAACCACATGATCATCCACTTTGGCATTTTTTATTAAGGCAAGGGTAGGAAGAAAAACAATCCTGAGTTCAGAGTTGAAACATAACAGCAATATTTAAGGTTTGTGTGTGGAACATACCACATAATCATCCACTTTGGCATTTTTTATTAAGGCAAGGGTAGGAAGAACAACAATCCTCAGTTTCTCAGCCAAGTATGGGCTTTTCTCAGCATGAATCTTCACAAAACGTGTCTCTATATGCTGCTTTGCCAATATGCTCAAATGCTTGTCCATGACCTGCAATTAATGCTGTACAAATCACTTCTCCTCCAGCTAATTACAGTAGAATCAAAATAATACAGACTTCTGTTGATACTCCTAAAACATAGAGTGCAACATTACCAAATCAATAGACATGTCAATAAGTTCAGCTGAAACTTAGTAGGCAGATTTAGAGATATCCTAGAATACTCCAGAATAATTGAATTTCCACTCCTGACTCGTCACCAAGCCAAAGCTGCAACGCAAGGCTACAGCCTTCAACTTCCCTCCCTTAAACTCAAAGAAAGTGACACAGGGCAAAGAGTGAAGAGGAAAAGAGAAAAGTGCAGGTCTTAGTTCTAAAGTAAAGATTACTACTCCAGTAAAATATGTAAGGTGACAGAAAGAAGTCTGATAAGAATCCAAAGAGGTACTCAATTCCAACTCCCATATAGAAAATGAGAATTGACTCGTGCTTTAACATTTTTTAAAATTCACAGAAACAAAGATCTTATGATGTAACTTCTTTAGTGATCAGAAATAAATTCATCACATAAATTTGAGAGCAGAGCTTCATATTTGTACAATATGCATGGACTTAATATTTCCCTATGTTAACAGGTGTCTGGATTCAGAATCTTTATTGCTTTAGAATTCTTTAGTGCATATCATGCAAGCATAAGATTACATAAATACAGTAAATTGCAGGTATTGAGCATTCTGACTTGTGTTGTCTCCTTTCTGAGCTTGTATTTCTCATTCCTACACTCTAGGATATAAACATTTTACTAATCATTTTAAGGATTCCATATAGTGAAAAATACTAAACCTATCACATGAGGTCCATTTTGATCTTCTAAGAAGGTTTCGTAAATTCTGAACTCTATTTCGAAACCAATTACATTTGAAGTAACAGTACAATTTAAGCTTCTAATTCTCGTTTTTCCTCCTAAACTAATGCATAAAAAATCTGTACGATATAAAAGCAATGGGCATATCAAAAGTTTGACAGCACAATGTAGAAAATCCCTCTTGGATTTCCAAAAACAGTTCTTTCTTCAACAAAATATACCAACCATTAGATGTGCAATTTTGACTTTCTAAGGATGCAATTTTGCAGTTCATCAAATGTCCTAATTTTACAGGGATGCAGCATACTTGATGTAATGCATTATCCTCGTTGTGAAACATACATTGCCATTTAAAGTTCACAACTCTTGATTTTAGGTAAACAGTCTTTCTCCAAAATATATGAACCATTAGATGTGAGATGTTAACTTTCATAGAAGCATTGAATTAAATTCTGAAAATTTTAGTACTAATCACTAGTGAGAATTTACAAAATCAGCAGCTTCCAAAGGACAGTACATGAAGTCATGCACATTCTATTAACCAAAAAAAAAAAAGTCTATGAAAAAACACTAATGCAAACAGACTGTACCGGTGTTATTAAAATGCATATAGACAGACATAAATAATTTATTTGTTTATTTATTTTTAGTCAGACAAAAAAGTGCAACCTTGCAAGGCCAATTGTCGCGATAGAAGTGGCAGACGACGCGTTCGCTGGCCTTGACGATTGAGAAAAATTCCTTCTCATTGGGGATCTCATAATAGTCGCCGTGGCCAAGACCGATCCAATGGCTCCGCTTTTCTGCCATTTTCTTCATCTGTTGCAACCGCCGCTCTCGCAACACCTCCAGATCGTCGGTGTCTAGCCGCTCGAAGGCAGCGATCTCGTCGTCCAGCTTGTCCTCAACTGCCTTCGCCACCGTCAGCACTTGCTTCTCCAGTATCTACTTGAAAACATTGAAGGGGGGGGGGGGGGAGAACATGTGGAACAATTTCAAAGTGGATGAATTTTTGCCAGGAATTCAGATCGAAAAATGTAGAATCTGATCGAAAATTGTTTACCTCTTTAACCTGTGGATTCTCCATGGTGAATTGATGGGAATGTAAGAAAGGCAGAAATGAGTTCTCGTGAAAGAGATGCTAAAGTGGAATGAATTTGAAGATTGAAATGTTTTCTGTAATTTTGTGGGAAGGTCGTTGCGAGATATTTATCGGGCAGGGACAGCCCAGTCTATACTCATGGACAATTCAGCAAATGGGCTATTATTGAACAGTTCCTCTGTTTTAAGCCCTGTTTGTTTGGGCAATACTAATGAACTTTGGGCTGTTCAAGTTTGAAAACTGTATGAGCCCACCACAGTACTTGGCCTCGGGGTAGGCTATTCATGCAGCCTGGTCCGTTTAATCCATCCGTAGTAGTAGTAATTGATTCTTTGCATTCTTGGGTTTCGAGTTGGGTTGGATCTAACTTGTCAATGGAGATATTGGCAATGCCCGAGGAAAGCCGTTAAAGAGATGTGCTATATCTACGTGTTTCTTTTCTTTTCTTTTTTTTTGAGTGAAACAAACGTGCATAGTAATTTATTAAATAGAACGACTAAATGTACACTCTTCCATTCTAAATTTGCACCTCAATTTGATGCTTTATTTGTATCAAAATTATCGAAACTTACTTTGCAAATCACTAATTACCAAAACAACACTCTGCAATGTTGATGTAAGGGAAAGCAGAAGCAAACTAATTTCTATCAGGTAAACAAAAGAGTGGACTACCTAATAATAATATTTGAGGCGCATCCATTTCACCTAGAGCTGTAAACGAACCGAAACGAATCGAGTATCTCATGTTTGAGCTCTGTTCGTTAAGCGATTCGAACTCTGTTCGTGTTCGTTCGTTAACTTTCGAACTCTAAATCTGTGTTCGTGTTCGGCTCGTTAAGTAAAGTTCGTGTTCATGTTCGGCTCATTTAACATAAACGAGCCGTTCGTGAACACGCTCGAAAAGTTCGAATCCAGATTATTCTAGGCCTTACATATGCCACACAAATCATTAATCATCCTAAAAAATAATTAAAATACTAAATGACTAAATTCCATTATCCAATAACTGCATAACCAACATTAACATAAAAACAACAAATAAAACAAAGTAATTTGTCCTTCAAATATAAAAATTCAGCCATAAGACAAGTACAAATTTTCGGCAGCAGCCAATGGGGAAGGAAAACAAAAGTAAGGTTGGAAAGGGAAGGGGAAAGTTTTAGAATTTCTTATGTGTAACCCTAAAATTTGTCAAATGACAATTATGTCCTTGTTCGCGAACGCTCGTTAAAATTCGCGAACATGTTCGTGTTCGTTCGATTATTAAACGAACAGAAAAATTCGTTCGTGTTCGTTCGTTTAAGGTTTTCGAACGAGCCTTTAACGAACACGAACGAGTCGAAACGAACCGAGCTAACGAACAGCTCGGTTCGTTTAACAGCTCTAAATTTTCACCCATTGAAAGAAATATTGCCCTTCTGTCATTTACTTTACATATATCGAACACTAATTTATTGGATTTCTTGGTGACCTATTTCCTAAAGAAACGAATACTGAGTACATACTATTTAATGCAAAGTTGCGTAGGAAAAAGGAGGATTTGTATGCCTTACGTGTGCGCGTTTATGGTACTCTAATTTACGCTCCTTCTTTTAGTTTCTTTAAAGCATCGGTTACCGGTAACCCAAAAACCGTAGCAGCCAGCCAGTACCATCACAAGTAGGAAATTACTGGTAGTGAAGTTGTCAAATTCTTGTCATTAGAACTAAAGAGGGGGCAGTAGAACTTCAGTAAAATTTTAGACCGAAGAAAAAGAATTATGATCAATACTGTGATCCGATATCGGTATGTATCGGTCGAGTCATAACTGAAAGAGAGGCTACCCGCGATGCGAACCATGACTGTGACATAAGAAACACAAGAAAGTATGTACTACTACTATCATTGTCTCGAAAGAAAGAAGCCAATCTTCGTGGAATCAAATTTAAGCCAAATTCAAATACTAGAGTAACGTAAGAGGAAGAGGACCCACGTAATGGATCTCTTATTTAGAAATACATCTATCTCGATCACTGGTAACATGAGCAAGAACGATGTCTTGGACATATACTGTGAAAATTACACCTTGAACCTGAACCATGCACCTTTAATTTGTTCTGAATCTATAGGTCAAGGACACTTGGCCTTCCCCTTGGAGTTCTTCATGTCCCTGTAGCAAGGGCACTGGTGCTTGTTTCCATGTGTTCCTGAAGGAACACACTTGCATTTTCCACAGCATATTTTGCAGTACCTCAAGCATCGGTCCCGCACACCAGCCTTAGCGCACCGAGCCTTGCATTCGCGGGCGCAATACACTGCATTATTATGGACGAAATGGTGTTAGACATTCTTTTTTTTTTTTTTTCCTTTTTTTAAGCGAGATTCTAGGCTATACTAGTATTCTATAATTATGGTAAAGTTCGAAAGTAAGCAAACATAAAAATGAAAGAAAAGGTGAAGACGTGTTAGCTAGCTCTTACCTGAGACCCCCATTGTTGGTTCAATGAAGGAATTGCTAAGGAGAAGGGCAAAGATTAGCAGGAATGCCACAAAGAGCCTCTTCATTTTCCCTTTCTTGCTGCTTAGTTTGAGTGTTGAAGGTGATGAATCAAGCTTGACAGTATTGAATGTGATCTATGAAGTACTAAAAGAGCAACCAGTAAGGACATATATAGGAGGCTTTTGGTGGGATGTGAGGTGTTGTTGAAGGTTTGTGATTAAGGACAGATGTGGCAAGTCGCTAACTGGTAATAGTTTATTTGAGAGTCAGTATCATCTGATGCAACAAGGCATTGTTAATTTAATCTGATAGTTGCATGCAAAGGATGGCAAAGGTTTTACGGGGTAGGTCACTCTGGACAGGGGGACAGGTGTAGTTTGTACAAGCAGTTTCTGCTTTGAAGCTGACGAGACTGTGAGTTCCTTCTTGCTGCTACAATAAATTGGCAGCAACGAGTAAATTGTGATATGTTGATGAGGTTGTAGTTGTATTTGGTATTGGCATTGGCATTGAAATCTTCCATACGTGCCTCCGGGGTTTTTTCTGGGGGAGGGGGAGAAAGGAGGGTGGACCGTTGCTTGTTAGATCCAATGTTTCTTGAGATGATGGTAGCCATCAATGAGTATCCAATGTTTAACTTAGGAAGGTCAATCAAATTGAAGGTTGATGTTTAAGTAATACTCCCTCAGTCCCATCATTTCAATCTTTTTTTGGTAACTCAACTGTTTAACGAAATATGTAATCATTGCGTTTGGATAAGTTGGATTCAAGTAATTTTACATGTTTGTTTGGATACTCGTATTATTCCAAATAATATTTCGCTTGCATCATAAACACATTTCCCAACTCACTTTTTTATCTCACATACATCACATCACAAAAAGTGCTACAATAATTATTTCAAATAACACACTATCCAAACAAACAAGTATGAGAAATGCATTTATTCTCAATTTCAAAATTTGAAAGTATGAGAAATGCATTTATGTTTGGATTGTAAATTATTTGAGATATTTTTACTGTAACACTTTTTGTAATGTGATGTATGTGAGATAAAAAGATGTATTGAAAATTGTAATGGTGATGTAAACAAATAAATTTAGGCAAATAATCTCTTGTCCAAACACCGTTCGACTCTTATTTTGGAACATCCAAAAATAAAAATATGATATTAACAATAGAATGAAACCGAGTACAAAATAGCACCAAAGAGGCTCTGGAAGGCTCTGGAGGCCATGTTAATTATAACTTCCTTTTTTTTTTTTTTTTTGAAGACTCTATTACTTATAACCTTTTTAACATGACGGCCTGGTACAAGAGGATCAAATTCTAAATTCTCGTCATTCGACTTAAAAAGACCAAAAACGTTGCCTTGCTCACTTGCAGCATTCGATGAACGCAAGTTTTCCCCAGTTAGTAGCGGATCTAATAAGACGAAAATAAAAGATTTGGTGGTCACTGGTGGCCTGTGGTCCATGATCAAAACAAATTTTTATGAAGCGGTTGGTCATTAATGAACCAGGAAGGACACTAGCAAAAGTTAGCATAAGACACCCAAGGCAATGAGCCATAGTATCTTCTTTTCTTTTCTTTTCTTTTCTTTTTTCCATTTTTTTGGGTTAATTACACTTTACCCGCCTAAACTTGGGGGTGAGTAATACTTCACCCCCTTGTACTTAGGAAATATACACTTTACCCCCCAATGTTAATATCTCGAAGGTTATGCATGGCGTCATCAATTTTCATTCCAAAACTAACCACAACTAAAATTTTTACGCGTGAAGCACAATTTGTAATAGTATCCCAACAATCACTCTGTTAATTGTTGCTCAATATTTTCTACAAATAAAAGAGCAACTTGAACTCTTGCACATGCCAAAGTAAAGAAGCGCATTATTCAGTCAATATACAATTTGATAAACATCCAGGAATCCAAACAAAATACACAAACTAGAAAAGCAACTAGATAGCAAAAGATGCATAAAGTCTCATGCTCATCTCATATTTCATCAAAATGCTCAATAAGAAGGGAAATACTTCGAGAGATAAGATATACAACCATCTTCAATCTCCTTGATGCTTCATTGATTAAAGGCCATCAATTGTAATTTACTAGAGGAATCATGATTCGCACTAGATAGAAGAAGTAGCAATCTTGGAAGAGTTTTAGAAGTTTTTAACTTGTTGCCAATGACATTTAAGATTATTTAGTCTTTTTTATTTTCTTTTTTTAACATTACATGAGGTTTTATTATTTATGCACCAATATTCCCGCCTAATGGACAAAGTTGTCCACACAAATAATATATATGGGCATTAATGTCAATTCACTAACTTTTTGTATGGAATTCTAAAATTTGATGTCAATAGGGGATAAAGTGTATATATTTTGTGTTTAGAGGAGTAAAGTGTTGCTTACCCCAAAGTTTAGGGGAGCAAAGTGTAATTAACCTTTTTTATGGTAAAAAGTTTTGAATGAATTCGACTGCCATCATGAATCAGGGCAAGCCTCCGAAATCATAGATTGCTTATAACGGTACTTACAGATCGTCTACTAATACAGTTCTCGTATCGACAACGAGATTCAAATACATCATCTTTTGTGGAAAGGGTTTGGCCTTACTAACCAAACCAACTTGTGTTGGCAGCGATAGTATCATTATACACAGAAGCGTCTGGTTGACAAGGAGTCTCCTTTTGACAGCACCAAGCGCAACCCAACGCAGTACATCCATCATTAAGCACATCCAATTAAGTACACCAGCATCAGTCACTCAGGAATTGGATACATAATACTAGCTGCTGTAGCTTTGTAGTTCCCATCTATCATTCTCGTCCACTCAATTGATATTCAAGTGATGCATGCAGCAGAGAAATGTAACATCATCTCTGTCTCAAAACATACGCCCACAAACACACGTCACGGTATGCACAAGAAGTTGTACACATAACTACTGCACCAAGTTTCTAAGACTCGGGCCTCATAATCGAGATCACCCTACAATGTTCTTTGTGCTTTTTACAAGCATACAAAAAGTTGATAGACATCAACCTCCCAAACCATGCAATGGATGAGAAAACCGACTATACAAGTGTACTTTCTCAAAGTAGTCATTGGATGCCAGCAAATTGACCTGCAAGATCAGTTGAAACTGTCAGGCATATCCCTGGGAATTGAATGTGAAACTTGAAACATTCACGGAAGATTGAATCCCAAAATTGACCTTAACGATCTCCGAATTTGAGCTTGGACGAACGTAAGCAGCCAAAACGCTCATGTTGAAATCCTGGGAAGCAACAAGAGAATTATCAATAACAAGGAAACTTGCGATCCTGAGACCACAACCGTCATGGTAATTGTAGCTTCACAAACTCATTCTACCACAAATCAAAGTGATACTCCTTCAGAATTCGAACATATTAATTCCTATCTACATCGGTATCATCATCACAGCTAACCAATTACCTTCTCAATTGTTTACTTAATCAAATCTTACCCCTATCAACAAAACAATAATCAATAACTCCTTTAAATGAAAATTAAAACAAGAGGGAGAAAAAAGAAATGAAGAATGATAAAGATAAAAGCTACAGATCTGAATACAAAGAATATAGGCACCAGTGGACTTTAAGGCTTATCAATTCATTGGACAAATAGAGTCATGATCCACAGTTTCTCAAGGTTCTGGCCAACCTACTTTGTTCTGAACAGAGGATACACCCATCAAGTTGAAAATGCCTTTACATTTTGTTTAAAAGCACTGGGAATATTCTCATACAGATGAAACAATGATTGCGATTTACTCAATCCTCTAACAGGAGAATGTACAAACAAACAAAAGTCGTAAAGTTTCATAATTGGAACTAGTGAGTAATTTAGAGGAGTATCCAGACAATGTAAAACTCACTCTAAAAGGATCACCCCTTAAAGACTGCACAAACATGGAGGCCCCTGAACCTTTACCCTGCACAATTCAACAAATAGTACAAATCTTGTAAAGTTGAATTCCAGACAAGATAACATATCTTAAGACATAACATATTCCAAACAACCATTAGACCCATCTAGAAGCATTCTTTCAATTTTCATACATCTCAGACAAGTGTGCCACACTCTCCTTGTCATCATCATGCCTTCACATAAGCCAGTAGGTAATGTTTTTTCAAACCCTTTTTGGTTTATCTCTTTTATTTTCTCCTTTTAGTGGAGAGAAAGGGGAAGCAAAGTGCCACTGTTGAATAGTTAAACCTCACCTTTGCGATTTAGCCACAAATACATCATTCTAACACCACAGCCACTATGTCCAGTGGAATTTTTATGTGCATCAAACTAAGTATTTGCAATGTCATATGTTAGAATACATTTGCTTCAATGCATATCAAATTCTGAGATAATGTGTGCTCTACCCTTTATAATTTTAAATACTTTCAGCATCTTCTCTTCTTTTCTGATGAAAGCATCACGTCTCATCTTACAAGGTAATGTATCTTATTACTTTGCCTGTCAGCATTATGTTAAAAGGTAATGTCATATGTTTTTGTTATAGATTTTGTGTTTCCGTTCACAACATTGCCACCTAGGAGTGCTTTAAATGTGAAGATTGCATGTTCTGTGAACAAAAAATTCATTGTCAAAAATATATCCATAAAATTTAAAGCTTTCTAGTGTAAACCAAAACTTATCTTAGTTCAAAACAGAATTGTGCAATGAATGAATCATTCATTTCCATACAAGAATATTTATTAGCTTAAAACATCTGCTAATTAAAACATCTGCTAATAAAACACAAATGTGACAATAATTACAAAAGGAGAGCATAATAGTCAACACAGTCCAACCTACCAACAAAAGATACAAACATTAACAGCTTTGAGTTATCCATCATTCAAAATACTCCCAGAAAGACATTGTTCCCCTAATTGAATCATCTAAGCATATGCAAGCATACACATTTTACTTATTGTGCCAGTGAATGTATCCTCATGAATCCCTATAACAAAAACATTGATTTACCTCCAATGAAATATCCCTAAGCCGCCTCCCTGTTTGAGCACAACAAATTCGGACAACACTTTCATCACAACTTCCACTAATAACATAATCCCTTCCATTCATGTAATAAGAACGAGTGTAGTTCTGAG